GTGAATGCAGCACTGAGAGTGTTGGGAATGATTTCACGGTTGTGTCGCCAGTTTTCTACACCCCGTTGTTTACTGCACCTGTTTAAGACATTAGTGAGGTCAAGATTAGAATTTGGCTCAGTCATTCGGAATTCATTAACGTTATCTCAGGCTCTTTCAATAGAAAATATGCAAAAACGAATTATTAGAATTGTGTATGACCGTTATATTGGAAGGAAATATTTTTACCATTATGAAACGTTACTTGTTCGATTTGCGTTGCACACGCTTGCTGCGCGGAGGCAATACAGAGATTTTATATTTCTTCACAAAGTTGTACACGGAAAAGTGAATTCAATTGAACTGTTGCGTTTCATAGACTTTCATGTTCCGTCAAGGGTCACAGTAGGAATGTGCTAACCTTTTACCCATCTTGTATGTCATCTGTGTCTCCTTTATCGAGGATCCAATTAGCATTTAATAAGACCCATCTTGACATTTTTCTTTGTTCAAACCAGTTCATGTTTTATGTGCGAAAGTGGATGTCCTTGAATTACCCATTGTAAGGCGGGTTCTGTATAGTCTTTCAGTTTCTGTTATCTGTTTATATTTTCATTGTGACAACTATTTTAATGTTTGATACAGTGCTGTGTTTTAATTTACTTTATGTGCACCACATCATAGACTGTAAAGTTGTTTGTGGGAACGTAAAATAAAGATTTATTATTATTATTACTATAGTATTATATGATATAATATTATATGCTTCATTGATTGCTTGATTGATTATATTATTATTATATAATATAGAATGATATATACAACTGCAGTTATCTGATTGCTGCACCAAACTGTGCCAAGGGGCTAACCCTGCCTACATCCTGCTACATTTTGCCAAAATATGGGTAATTGGCGCCAAGCCTGCGCCAAAGGACCATTTCGGTCGCCTTTCAAAACCGAAACTAAACTGAGTACCGTAATTGAGCACGCGTGAGCTAGGTGGCGCAAGCGGCCGTCCGACGCAATGTACCCTGCATCAATCGTGGCAATGTAACCCTGGAGCCGGGGAAAAGAAGGGACGTAGGGCAGGAACAAAACTCCAGTGTCGGTATTGAACCGGCTCGCCTGCACCCTTGCTTTAATTACATCGTCTATCCGGTCTCACATTTTTTTCCCCGGCGTTTCTTCTTTCGCCCTCTCGTCGTCTCGTAAATCTCGTCTCGCATTTTTTTTTTTTAATTTTTTTCAGTGTTTGATGGGGCGTGTGCGAACGCTCCGACGCTAACGTGCTCGGTACCAGCCATGCCGTCACGCTGTGAAACGAAATTATGTTTTTGCGCGGCGGGAGTCACTTCTTGAGCTGAAACACTCTCTTCTGAAAGCAACGGCCGTGGGAAAACTATTTGGTCCCTGCCGGCCAGTCCACATGTAGCTACAGATATGGAGCTTCCTAAACTAAAACATAAGGACCGCCACATGTTCATCAACATTCCTGTTCTTGTTTAAATCATATTACTACAAAAATCCCTTTTTAACTCAAAGACTGCTGTGTGGAAGTATTGATTATCTAGGTTTCTCTTGGTTGACTTTCTTTCAAGAGGGACCCCGGTGCATAAAAAATTTGTCGCGAAAGAAAGTTGGTGAAGAGAAGTGAGCTAAAGCAAAGAAGGCAATATCTACACGTTGAACCCACACAGCGCGCTTGTTTGTCTCGAATCGAGTCGTTGCGCAAAGCGCCCCAAGAACGTTTTGACCCTGACTCGCGATGTCCTGCATCGATGCGCTCGGGTTCTTTTTCTCTGTTTAGCTTGTACCTCGCCTGCCGGCCTTGCAAGCACGCGCCGCTGGACTGTTTACCCTCGCATGCTGGGCAGTTACATTTTACATACATTTTTGGAATCAGTTGGCGACGGAGTGTGGTTTCGATCGAACAGGACATCTCCGCTCGCACGACAAAGCACGCGCAGCTGCAAGCCTGCCGAATTTGCCCTGAAGTGCATGCAAACATGATTGCACGACAGAGGCAGCAGCCGGGACGCTTCCACTGTTTTACATTCACTTTTGACGAAAATCTGGCTCGTTTGAAATCAGTAAAACGGTGGCAAGCTGTCTTTCAGAATTGCTCGGTAGCGCGTACAGCACTGTACACTTGTGAGACCTCTCAATGTCTCTTTGGAGACATTGAAAGTGGACATTCATTACTAGCCTAAGTCAGAGTGAAGCTTGCAGTAGCTTTGCAGAAAGTTTCAAAAAGCAAAAAATACCCGCTGGTTGTAATGCACCTTTTTCTTGTTTGCAAATTCGCATTGCACTGCAGTAGCTTGTGTTTCATCAGTCGGAGACTGCCTACATTTATTATATAATATCACTAGTCAACCTAATGCTGTGATATTTACTACTAAGCTGGTCATTTTAAAATAAATTTTAATATGCGCAGTTTGGTTCTTATTTACCTATAGTGGGCACATATGTATGTCTCATTTAACTGAAGCATTGCAAAATATCTCATGTCATTGACATTTCAGTTACACCTTGAAAGACTCCTAGTTGGTCGAACTTGACCTTAATTCGTTTATTTCGGCGAGCAAAGTGCCCTTCGTTTGTCCAGCACTTGAAATGAATATTTTTATTTTCCTAAGAATATCTGCTCCGAAAGCCACTTTTGGTGCTCCGAAACACTGCTTTGGGTGCTCCAACAGCCCCTTTTGCTGCTCCAAAACACTGTTTTGGCTGCTCCGAAAGTGCTACAAAACGGCTTTGGCCAATCACATCACTGCAATCGTCCAGAGAAGTACTCTAAGTGGTTTTCCAAAGATTTTCGATATTACTTGAGGTTAAATTACATTACCACAGATTATATAAAAAAATGAAGCTTGGCTTAGGTATGAAAAATTTACCATCTGTCGTGAAGTAACAAAAAAGCTTCTTGCTAGCAACCAATATCACTACCGCGGGCAATTGGAGCGTAACCTGAACAAGCGACCAGAAGAATTGTTGCGCTATGTGAAAAAGCACACCACGAAGGACTCTTAACAATATATCACTGAGCAACGGTTGTTATTGAAACGTCCCCAAAATCTGTTTGTGAGTTGTTTTCGCATCCTTTCAGCTCATGCTTTTTTAATGCCACCACCCCTTTACCCGTGACATGTAATACTACTTTTGATGACTATTTACCCTTTACTAGATTTACAGTTCACAAAGTGCTTTTAGCTATTGGAAAGTTGAATTCTAAACTGTCCACAGGTTCAGATGGTATTCCCAACATTGTTGTAAAAGGATGTGCCGAATGTTTTGCTCCTGTTCTTGAAAAAGTGTTCAACTTGTTTATACAGAATGGTATCTTTCCAGAAAAATGGAAATATTCGATAGTCGTCCCAATTTTCAAGTCGGGTAATTCTTGTGATGTTAGTAATTATCGTCCTGTTTCCCTTCTCAATGCATTTTCAAAGGTTTTTGAGAAGCTAATGTAAAATCGTTTGTATAATTATTTTAAAAGAAAGTTTGTTCTTGTACAGCAGGGTTTCGTCAAAGGCAAATCCGTCGAGACAAATCTGTGCACATTTTTAAATTTTGCTTTTCCAATTATTCAGTGTCGGGGCCAAGTAGACACAATATATCTGGATATGTCCAAAGCCTTTGATAAGGTCAATCGAGAATGCTGTTGTTGAAACTCTGGGACTATGGCCTCAGTCCTGGGTACAATACCTGGTTTAGGAGTTATCTTCATAAAAAGCAGAACTGTGTAAGGGTATCTGACTTCTTGTCTAGTCCATTTATTTCTGTGTCGGGAGTGCCTCAGGGCTCAAAACTTGGGCCTTTGTTGTTTCTTATTTTTATAAATGATTTGGTGTCGTCTTTAAAACACTGTCAATTACTTATGTTCGCAGATGACGTGAAGTTGTTTCGGGAGGTCACCTCAATCACTGACTGTACTTTGCTCTAAGACGGTCTTCGTTCAGTGGTAGAATGGTGCAGTTCTAACAATGTTTTCTTAAATCCGCGCAAAACAAGAGTCATGTTGCTGTCGAGAAAGCGTCACAATTTATCCTATGTATATGTTCTGTAGAATGAAACGATCTGTCGGACCACGCAGATGCGAGACCTAGGTGTACTTGTGGACGACCACCTTTTTTTCCTTTCTCATGTAAACTCCATTTTTAGACTAGTCATTACGCACGCTAGGCATAATGTCTCGCTTAACTGGACCATTTATCACTCATCACTGTCTTTTGAGATTATATAGTACCCATGTGCGTTCGAAACTAGAATTTGCATCTGTAATCTGGAACTGCATATCTATACCCAACAAACCACTGGATGTCCATTGGACATCTGATAGATATCCGCTCAAGATATTCAGACGTCCCCAGGAGATCCGTAGCCGTCCGACGGACGTCCCCAGGACATCCGTCAGAGTGCCAAAGGTAACAAATTTGCGTGTCCGTCGGACATCCGAAATGGGATCCTTCTGCAGGCCAATTTCGGATATTCGGATGGCACGCCTGAATTCACTCTACTTTAGCCCAGATATGTTGTAAACCAGTCAAAGCACTAACCTGAGCCAATTTCTACTGGGCAGAATTTCTTCGGATATCCCGTGAACATCCGATAGAGACCCGATTCAGATATATCAAACATCCGTGGGACATCCGTATACGTCCGACAAACATCCCCAGGACATCCGACAGAACGTTAAAGCAAACAAAATCGCACATCCGTTGGACATCCGAAATGGGATCCATCTGCAGGCCAATTTCGGATATCCCGGGAACATCCGATAGAGATCCAATTCAGATCCACCGAACATCCGCGGGACATCCGACGAACATCCCCAGGTCATCCGACACAGCGCCCAAGCAAACAAAATTGCACGTCCGTCGGACATTCGCAATGGGGATCCCATTGCGGATGTCCGACGTACACGCAATTTCGTTCTTTAGATGGCATGCCTAAATCCGTTCTACTCTTGCCTGGATATGCTGTAACCAGTCAAAGGACGACCCTGAACCAATTTATATTGGCAATATGGTTTTATTACTACACTCGTGTCCTATCCATACAGGTGCTTCTAGTGGCCCTACTCTTTATTCATCTCGGAGGTTGGTGTTCAATTTTTACGCATTGCGAAACCATCTTGCCCTGTGTCATCTTGCAGCTGTTTTTTCATGGCCCTAACAAAGAACCGGAGAAGGTATCAGTACGGGAAATTTCATAGTAAATCCAGAAAGTACCTGTAATTGTGTGGCATACTGTAAGGTGACAATCCCCGGCGTGGGCAGGTCCTCTCTGCATCGTATGGCCCTAAGAAAACAAGTTGGAGACAGTATCGGTATGATTGAACGTAAATTTTGCAACACTTGGAAGTTACCTGTTGCTGAGTAGTGTAGTGTAAGCTGTTCGTCCCTGGCATGGCAAGGTCATTTCTGCACCAAGGTGAAGAGATGAGTGCACGCAACTTTTACACATCGGAACGTACCTGTAGCTGAGTGACATGGTCTAAGGTGCTACTCCCTGGTGTGGTGGGTAGCCCTTGCTACACCGCATGGACCTAACAAATCAAGTTGAAGAACGTATGAGTGCAGACAAATTTCACGACACTTTTAAAACCTTTTAGTAGCCGACTAGCATAGTGCAAGGTACTAACTGTTTTACCATAACATGGCAAAGAGCAAACGCTGCAGCCCCGCAAGACAGTCAGAGCGAGTTGCATCAAAATGTAGCCGTCGTGCATTCCTCCCGTGGAGTGTTGTCATGTACCTTGCTCTGTCACTTTAATTGGCTCACGGGGGCCATAGTTTTCACCCTTAGCCATGTTATGGTGAAGCGGAGTGTACTATAAAGACGCATTCCCACTGGCGATGCGATCTAGTCGTGCGATAACTTTCATTGTAAAAGCGACGCGATTTGACCAGTCGCTACTCGGTCCGACTTTTTTGCGATGCAATCTAGTTGCGGAGCGGCTGAGCCAATCAACGGCGTTCAAAGCAAGAGTTTTCGAGAAACGACTCGCCAACGAAGGCGTTGGACTCGCTCATCGAGCACGCCGGTGTGACCATGTCATTTTTTTGCAACGCGATCTAGTCGCATCGCGCGACTGCTTACATCGCCGGTGGGAATGCGCCTTAAGAGTGGTAACTTGGGCGAGTTGGTAATGCATTACAACAAAAAAAAGTGCTAAAATTGGATGAAGGACGAGTGAGAGGAATGTAAGCGACGAGCGCTGACTTGCAACTGAATTTTTAATTGGAAAAAACATAAAACCCCCTCGAACCACCAAAACATGAAACACCGCCAATCTTATCAATGTGATTACAATATTGCTTCGTAACGGTGTCCTTACGAAGCAATATTGTAATCACATTGATAAAATTGGCAGTGGTTAATGTTTTGGCGGTTCGAGGGTTTCATGTTTCTTCCCAATAAACATTCAGTTGTAAGCCAGCGCTTGTCGTGTACATTCTTCTCACTCGTCCTTCGTCTCATTTTTGCACTTTTTTGGTTGTAACAGAGTGTAGTCTTTGCCGTGGGGAGCTCATTCCTACATCTCGTTACCCTAACAAAACCATTTGAAGGGATGAGTGCAGACAACTTTCATTAAGTAAATTTTACCATATTTGCCACACAGTTTGATCTTCAGGGAAATATTAAAGATGCCTATACAACACTGGTTCCATACTTAAAAAAATAGGCACAAAATACAAGCCTTTGAACTGTAATTTTGTGACTAATTACCAAAAAATGTTGCTTCACAGCTCTGGAAACAAATAGGCACATATAACAATGTTCAAACTTGCCTTTTACACGACTTGACTGGTAGTAAAAAAGGATAGCACATTTCATAGTAGAAATTACCAGGGGCATTTTTATGGTCAATTGGCTCCTTTAATGCCTGCTCACTGGCCTTTCCTGAAAATACAAAAAAAAAATGGGTTCAATTAAAAGTCAAAAATAAATTTGTTATCAAAAGTGGAGTGCCACTCAAATACAAAAGCAGAGCATTAAATGTACTTGCGCACCTTCTTTCCCACAAATCCACAGTAGGCCATTTCCTGCCATCTATGGAGTGCATCCAGTTCACGACGAGGCACCAAGGAAGTGATCTGTGCAAGGAAATTGAACATATCCATGTTGAAATTACGTTCTTAAATTGCATCATACTGTAAGCCCCGTAATCATCTGGGTGCACTTTGCAGTGATTGTACTAGATTGTGTTCTGCAAGAGGGCAGACGTGCATCCATTTTTCAGAGGTAGGATGTATATAGCGATGTAATCATGAAACTGCCAAAGTGCAGACATGATGGTGTGCCTTCATGTGTGTGCAGATAGCATATAATCAACATCAGAGTTTATGCACGGTATTATATTAACAACATATATCTGAATCAGGGATTGGCAGTATTTCAAATACAAGTATTTGAAATACGTATTTTAATACTTTTTGTATTTTGCATTTGTATTTAATTACAAATTGGGTAATGTATTTGACGTGTGTATTTAAATACTAAAACGTGGGTATTTCAAATACAATAGTAATTAAATACAATTTTGTGGGTGAAAATACATCCCTCAAATTTATGTCACTGTCCAGAGCAGGAAGAAAACTACGTTCTGCACCGAATGCAGTGTCTCAATTAAGCACAAGCGTTTAGTGACTTTGCGATTACGGTGCTATTCCAGGGCAAGAATAGTGACGAAATTAATGCTCACAGGCAGGCTGGCTAAATAAGTGCCTGTGACAACTTGTGATGCTTTCCAGCCTGATTTCCATCCATATTTTTCTTGGAACATACTAAACCGGAAGGGAGGCGGGGGAGTGTGTGTGTGTGTGTGGGGGGGGGGGGGGGGGGAGGGGTTAGGGGAGGGAGCCGCGAGTTGCACTTTAGCACGCGAATAGCCGCATGCGGCTCGCGAGCCGCAGCTTGGCCACCCCTGGTCTATACCAAAATTTATAATCCACAAAAAAAAAAAAAAAGCTGCTTGAAGCTCTGTATTTTTTTTTTACCTATTACGTCCAAGCTGATTAGATTTTTTTGTCATTATATTTCTATTACGTTACTAGAGCCTCGCACACTAACTCCCGAGTGTGCGATGCAAAATTAAAATAAGATACCCAGAAACCCGTTGCAGGTGCCCTGAAGTCGCTGACGCAGATTTTGAGGAAAGTATTTGGAAAAGTATTTAGAGGAAACCCAATACATTTGGTTGTATTTGTATCTTGTACTTAAATGCTTTTTCGGAAATGTAATTAGATTTGCAATTAAATACATTTTTGACGAAGTATTTTGAATTTTTTATTCCGATACATATTTGCATGTATTTTGCCCATCTCTGTATCTGATTAATTGAGAATCTTTAATTTTACTGAGCTAAACACTGCGCACTATGCACCTGCTTGAGATCCACTGTAGGAATGCAAATACGCTATAGGCGCCCTTTCACATTTTGCTTCTGCAGAATCGAGTCCAGCACCAAACTATGCCCCATGCAAGCACACATTGACCCACCATGATCCACCTCATTCTAAGCGCGAGGCTTTCAGCGCCCCTGCCAAGCACGCGCGAGCGTGCAGTGCAAGCAAAGGTTCAGGTGAACATGCTTTTGCTAGTAGCTTCGGCTTCATTTGCACGCTAAGTGAAACAAACATTAGTAGCCTCGATCAAAGCCATTCACGTGTAAACAAAACACGAAAAAAAAAAAAAAAAAAAAAACGCCTGAACTTAGGAGAGCAAATTCCTTGGTCTACTTTATGATTAAAAAAAAGCCTGACTAAGGAACACATATAAGGGGAAAAACACGCACGGCCCCAAACATTGCTGGAGTTCTAGCCGAACTCGCTTGCAGCCAAGAGACCAAGCAGCCCTCTGACACCGTACCCGAGCTGTACGGCGCGGACTTTAGACGGCGCGGCGTCAGGTCCACACCGACGACACAGCACCGCCCTCACATTCTCAGGCGTCAAAAACACAACTGTCCACTGTCTCTGAGAACAGCCCAACGCCTAACTTCCATGCTCGGCCGTGCTCGATGAAATGGAGAATAGTGGCGAGCGAGAGGCCCTCAATCACCGGTCCTAAATGGAGACTCGCACTTGCTTGCTTGCACAGACTTGAGAGCGGCTCATTCGTGTCCGCTCGCCTTTCATCTTTAAAGTTTAAAAGTGAAAATAACACTCGCGAAAAGAGAAAGCGAGCGCGGTAGCAGGATAACAGCAGAGACAGCGGCTGGCGGGCCGAAAAAGGCGCCATTGCCTAGAATAATTCTGCAGTAAATACGTATGAAGCTTTTCCTGATATTTCCAGATATTAGCTATCTATTTATAACTATTTCTTTTACACCTGAATATAAAATGTCGCTTAATTTATTTTGTTAGTAACTTCTTAATATTTAGGGTCTACGCGTTTAGTTTTAATTTTTCTCGTTTACTGCGGAGATGCACACCTCCGAAGCCAGGGAAGTGCAGCTTCCAGTTTCCTCCTATCATCGCGAGGACACTAACGACGCGGCGCGTTGCGGCAGAAGGGCAAACTAAGTACCGTGTTGGTGCGGCACTCGCAACTGATGGCTCCGGTACTCGCCACAGATGGTGTGGGAGGCTCCTACAGATGGTGTACCCTCCAAACACACACAACCACCGCCCGGCCAAAACGGTGCCCCCCTCTCCATCTTTTCTCTTCTTCGTTTTTTCCGATTGAGTTGTTTTGGCGTATGCTTTGCGCGAAGGCACTGAGCTTCCCCTCCCACTTAGTAAGGACTGCTTTGTGCAAAAAAGAAAGGCGCGGATTGTGCTTTTGTAGTGGAGCACTACCGCAACTGAAGCGGTAATACTAAAAAATTGGAACCCCCACAAAGTCGACGTTTCGAACCTGCTGCGCAGCACCGCTAATGAGATTTTTTTTTTTTTTTTTCCCATGCCGAGCAGCTATCATTTCAAGTTTTGAACGCTGTAATGCAGCATATTCGTTTCTCTCAGCAGAAGTAAAAGAGAGCACGTCACTTCCTCCCGGAATACCGCGATTCCGCCCAGTAATCGCAAACCAAAATCTAACTATTTCCCAATCTGCAGCCCTGTATGGCGACAACGAGATTTTAAGTAATTTGAAACGTAAAAATACTTTTAAAAGTCTGTATTCAGTACCCTAGCTGAAATGCGGGAGAGGTGACTGTCAGAAAAAGAGAACCAGATAGGGCATAGGTAACAAAAATAAATGAGTCGTGCTCAACAAAATAATTATAGCTAAAAATCTTTGAAAACAAACAAAACAAAGGGACCAGTATAAAGAATGTTTTTAGAATAGTAAAACACATTAAGTTACATCGCCAATCCCAACCGAGAAAAGAAAATATATTTGGAAAACGTTTGAAGAAACAATCGATCCATCGCAATACGTTTCTCTAATTAACCGACAAAATAAGAGTGAAAAAACTTCAACAGTCGTCTGAACAAATCATGAAAATCAATTTTGGAGCGATGTATGGCCCGGGGATAATAACAAACTTTTTTTCAACTACGAGTTTATGTGATCAGAAGTATTTGTAATGATAATGTGGCACATGAACAATCAAGTTTCTCAAAGGTTGATCAGTAAATCATTTGAATTTCAATTTCTCATATGTTGTCGCAAATGCGGCTAGGATTCCGCGTGTTTTCGGAGTTTATTTCTCGTGAAGCCAAAGGGTGTTTTTTTTTTTTTTGGAGTTTATTTTTCGCTGATAATTTTGGGTTTATCAGAATTTATTTTTGTCAAATTCTCAATCTTTTAAATTCGAATTTAATTCGCCTGTGTTGTTATAATTGAAAAAAACTTCAAAAGCAAAATAAAGTCCGGATACCATGACCCACTGCCCTGAAGGAACCTCAAAGGGCAAACCCCTTTTGTGAGTAGTTCTACGTACATATTTCAAAGGAAACTGAGGTGGCATGCCCTATGGACCAGTGACACTGTGCTTATATAAAGTTTTTTTTTGTAAAACACCGTCTTTTTTTTTCTGTCGTTTTGATTTCGAAATTTCGTGTTTTTCAGAAAAGTCCTTATCGACGGAAAATGTACCGACTGAGTAAGACCGAGAGACACCAGGCCGGTTTTTAAGCCTAGCTCTTGCGACTTCTTAGGATCGGGTGCGCTGCAGCGGAGCTGGTCTTAAGAGATTGCAAGGGGCTTAAAAACCGGTCTGTTAGACAGTAGACCGCAGTATATTTATAGCGTATTTCAGCATTAATTTATGCTGCTTTGCGCGTGCGTGTTAGAATTTGATTTCGGATATTGCCGTTATTTCATTTCTTTCTCCAAGTGCTCACTGTGGGGCTGATAGTATTGTCAAATATATAAATAAAACAATAAATATAAAAAGGGTAAACATAACAAATATCTCAACAACAGGCATGTTTGAATGCTTCCAGTAATTGATTACATAATCTTTAAGAAGCGTGTAAAATATCTTAAAACGTTTCTCGTAATAAATACTATTTAAAAACTGACACACATGGCTTCAAGGAGAAATCAACTACAAAAACTTTTTGGACGACTTCGTTTCATAAATGAAAGTAGGTAATGCCGATATTTATATTAGATATCAGAAAACTAAATGAAAGTGTGTCATAAAATACTATTAAATGGATCGCATGCAGTCTTCAAGATTTAGAGTGAAAGCATTATACTGGTTCACAACTACCCCGAAAACCGAAATCAGACTACAGAAATAACAAAAAAACAAATTGAGCAAAAATCTTTAGTCAAACTAGGTGTCCCCCAGGGCACTTTTAAAGGACCGGCATTGTTTAATTTGTATACACATATGATATTTTTATGTAAACAATTCCTTTTCAGTATATCTAAAACACTGCATCTGACTAAAGACGGCCGCTCTTTGTGGGAAGCATTCCCCGAGGGGAAGCTTGTTCCCGGAACTGGCCGCTGTCGCCCCCCCCCCCCTCCCCCCCCCTCCCCTCTTCGCGATCTTGTCTTTCCAGTCTTTCCCGGTGGGCGCAGCAGCTTTTGTTTCTCAACCGCACATGTTACTTGCTGCACGGACCCCGCGGGCCACTTGTCGCCGAATGGGCGGTCGCGGTCTCCGAGTGGTAGCAATGTTCTGGCTAGAACATCGAGTTTTCCGCTGACAGCTCACTTTTACTACACAAGACAGTGTGTAGCTCAGTAGCAGTTAATTCGAGCGCGTTGTTATAATGAATACTTAAAAACGAAAGAATAAAAACATAAAGGACGTACACGTGTGGTCGTCCGTGTAAGTCTTTTATGTAATCATTCTTTCCTTTTTGAGCTCAGTAGGTTTGAATAACATTCATTCAACGCTGGGCGAACTTCTGGGCGAGTCAAGGCGAACTTCACTGACAAGTGCCACATTAGGGACATGATTAAAATAGTAAGAACCAACTAGCCCAAACAAAAGTCGTTTTACACATTAGGGTGTTGTCGTAGATGGTTTCCGCTGGCCCGCAACGTTCTCCACTCAGCAACCCGCTACGAGATCTGAGACTCTGTAGGCAAGGCTAGCGCCGCGGATGCACAACGTCTTCGTTCCGGAGAGCGTAGAGGAAGTGAGAGAACGGTCTACGAAAACTCCTTATTCTTTCCCCCAACTCAGCTGTCTGTTAACCCCTACTTTTCTCTTCTTCCTTTTTTTTTTTTGTCTTTACGTTTTAGGGTAGGGCTGCTGATGGAAAATTGTCGTTTTCTATTTACTTTGTTAGTTTGTTTTTCGCGAGCGGTGTCCAGGCCACGACCACCTCGATCTCTCAAAGGGATCGGGAAGCCGCGTCAGGGCCTCGCTTTTAGTTTGTATCTTCTGTGCTTTCTAGCAGCCCAGTTATCATTTCCCTTCAGCACGTGTAACATGATCCTTCTCTCTCCCTCTCACACTGCATCGGCCCACAGAGGGGTCTCATCCAAGTGGAGAGAACCCTCGGAGCGTCAATGACCTGTGGTCTGACTGACCCTCAACAGGACCGCGCACGGACGCTATGAGCCATTGGAGTCATTCTAAAGGAAAGAAGGCGTGACTTTCCGGTCGGGCACAACGAGGGCAGCGGCGTGTTTTGCCCATTTGTCGCGTCATACTTTCTCAGCGTTGCATTGGCTCCGATGGTTCGTAGAGTCCGCTTCAGTCCATTCTAAGATCGCGGGGAAAGGACGGCCACAGATCAGCACGTTCAAGAGAATGCACTCTTGGGGAGAGAGGAAAAGCTGAGTGAGACGTGAGACAGAAGTAAAACAAAACCAAGGAATTAGCATCTTGTAGAATTCAGCAGCAAGCGTACCGCTATGAAAGAACGACCATCTTGTCCGGTGCCTCGTGATGAACTGATTTAGATGACATAGAAAAGAAGAGAAGAAAGAAGATAGGTTTTTTTAAAGTGAGATATGTAGGACAATCAATAGAAGAAGAAGTGAAAGAGAAATAACAGAACACAACATTTTCCCCCCTCCCCTTTTGGAGAGAAGACGGGTATACAAGATGCACATAACAAAGCCAGTCATAGATATTATACATACAAAACAAAGATGCACGAAATCATAATTCAAAAGAAATTCAAGTTAAGCATTCATTATCACACTTGGCCTAGGCTATTTTTAAAACATTCGCACTCAACACTCATACTCCTTACACATATCTCAAATAACACTCTCAGAAACTTTTTTTTACAGAATTCCAGCAAGTTATTTACAAAACTATGGCAAGTTATTTACAGAATTCTAGCAAATAATTTCACTTCGGATAATAAGCGTTAAAGAAATATGTAAACTTCTCTTCCCCCCCCCCCCCCCCCCCCCCCCCCCCCCGAGACAAATATAGACAACTGTCATGTCTGTCAACGTGGGTCAGAGACTCACATCTCTAAACCGCACAGGTGGTCGGCGAGTTCTTCCACAGGGGGAACGGAAACTGCCACTGGAGGAATAGTAGCATCCACTGAGGGAACGGGAATTTCCGGTGGCAACCTCACTCTTTGGTGTGAACTTGGTGGTACCGTCACGGCACCCTGTCGAGATTCAAAAAGACCGGTTTGACTATCTGGGCACGCTTCGTCTCCATCCTCATCTTGTCCCCGTGGAGGTGGAAAAGGCGTAGGCGTATGTGGCCTTAGCTGCTGCCGTTGCCACTGAGCAGCCTGCTTCAATGTGTTTGGCCTCCACTCATGATGAGGACGCTGGCTTCTAGAGGTCTCTTTCAGAATCCTCTGTGTAGGCAGGTGCTCAAAAGGCTGTGTCTTTGCTT